CGCCCTGCTCACGTTCCGCATGGACCGCGGGCGCTACGGGCTCGGCTCGCCCAAGGCCGAGGTCCGCGGTCAGGTGCTGGCGCCGCTGCCCGTCCACGGAGTTGCTGATCATCTGGGCTGTGATCCTCAAACACGGTTCTTTGTCCCTCCCCACATCAAACAGTGGATTGCCTTGCTGCAGAGGGGAAACTGCACGTTTAAAGAGAAAATAGCGGGCTGCTTTCCACAATACGGTGGCTGTAGTCATCTACAATAATAAAGCCGAGGGGCCAGTCACCATGACTCATCCAGGCACTGGAGATATTATTGCTGTCATGATTACAGACTTTAGGGGTAAGGACATTTTGAGTTATCTGGAGAAAAACATCTCTGCACAAATGACAATAGCTGTTGGAAACCGAATGCCGCCAAAGAACTTCAGCTGTGGCTCTCTGGTCTTCGTGTCAATATCCTTTATTGTTTTGATGATTATTTCTTCAGCCGGGCTTCTATTCTACTTCATTCAGAAGATCAGGTACACGAACGCTCAGGACAGGAACCAGCATCGCCTTGGAGATGCAGCCAAGAAAGCCATCAGCAAATTAACAACCAGAACCGTAAAATAGGGTGATAAGCAGACAGACCCAGACTTCCATCATTGCGCAGTCCGCATAGAGAGCTATAAGCAGAACGATGTTGTCCGGATCCTCCCCTGCAAGCATGTTTTCCACAAATCCTGCGTGGATCCCTGGCTTAGTGAACACTGTACCTGTCCTATGTGCAAACTTAATATTTTAAAGGCCCTGGGAATTGTGCAAAATTTGCCGTGTACTGATAACGTAGCATTTGACGCGGAGAGGCTCACCAGAACCCAAGCAGTTAACCGAAGATCAGCCCTAGGTGACCTTGCCAGTGACAACTCCCTTGGCCTTGAGCCACTTCGAACTTCGGGGATCTCACCTCTTCCTCAGGACAGGGAGCTCACTCCTAGAACGGGAGAGATCAACATCGCAGTGACAAAAGAATGGTTTATTATTATTGCCAGCTTTTCTCTCCTCAGTGCTCGCACACTCTGCTACATGATCATCAGAGCCACAGCTAGCTTGAATGCTAATGAGGTAGAATGGTTTTGAAGAAGGAAAAAAATGCTTTCTGACTATTGCCTTGAAGGAAAAAAGAACCTATTTTTGTGCATCATTTACCAATCATGCCACACAAGCATTTATTTTTAGTACACTTTATTTTTTCGTAAGATTGCTAATGCCAAAGCTTTGTATTAAAATAAATAAAATTTTAAAAAAGAAACTTTAAATTTTTAAGTTACATATTTGAATAAAAGCTATGAAAAGAAAAGGTTTAACATTTTCTTACTCTTGAGGTGTACTTTACATAGGTAAAGTGCACCAATATTAAGGGTATCATGTGAAGAGTTTTGATCTGTGTGTAGCTGTCACCTCAATGCAGGGGTAGGACATTTCCATCATCCCTGAAAGTGCCCTTGTGTCCCTTCCCAGACAGTACCTCCCCATGTCAAACCAACGTGTTCTGATTTCTCCCATGACAGCTTAGTTTTGCCTGTTGTTAAAATTCATGTCAGTGGTATCCTGTGGTCTGTACTGACTGAATAGTATTCTGTTGTATGAATAAGCCGTAATTTGTTTATCCATTCCCCTCCTGGTGGAGACTAAAAAGCAGCTATAAACATTCTTGTGCAAGTCGTTTGTGGAAATACGTTTTTGTAAGTCTCACGTAAGGATAGAATGGCTGCAATATAGGAGTATATGTGTTTATAAGAAATTGCCGCTGTTCCACAGTGATTGTATCATTTTCCCTCCCACCTGCAATGTTTGAGTGTTTCTTTTGCTCCACATCTTTGCTAACTTGATAATATCAGTTTTTAAATTTTAACCATCCTAAGATAGTACTCCATTGAAGTGTCAACTTGCATTTCCCTGATAAATAATCTTAAGCATCTTTTCATGTGTTTATTGGCCATTCTTAGATCTTCTTTTGTAAAAAGACTATCCAAGACTTTTTTTTAAATTGTGGTAAAATACGCATAACGAAATTTGCCATCCCGACCATTTTTTTTAACCTTTTTTTTAATGGAGGTACTGGGAATTGAACCCAGGACCTCATGCATGCTAAGCAGATGCTCTACCACTGAGCTATACTCCCCCCTCCACATTGTAACCATTTTTAAATGTATAGTTTAACAATGTCCAGTACAGTCACACTGTTGTGGGACCAATCACCTGAACCCCCTTAATCTTACAAAACAGAAACTCTATACCCATTAAACAACAACTCCCCGGCCTCTCCTCTCCCGACTTTTGTCTGTTGTTAATTTTTACTAAGTTACAATATTTTGTTATGTGTTTTGGATACATATGTGTTTTGTCAGATATATGTACTGAAAATATTTCTCCCTAGTCTGTAGTTTTTCCTTCCATTTTCAGAACAATGTCCTTTGAAAGTCAGAGTTTCTAATTTTAATAAAGATCAACTTAGCTCTTTTTTTCTTTTGCAGATTGTAGAACTATATCTCACATTCCACATATACTTCTTATGGTATAATTTTGATCTTTCTTTTCCCATTGAATTTTACTGGCTCCTTTGTTCCAAATCAATTGGTTATGTGTATATGAGTCTATTTCAAAACCCTCTATTTTGTTCTGTTGGTCTATGTATCTGTCTGTCCCTTTGCCGATACTATACCATTCTTAATTAATAACTTTATAGTAAGTCTTGAAATTAGGTAGTATAAGTCCTTCAATTTTATTCCTCTTCTCCAAGATTGTCTTGGCAATTCTCTATCCTTAGTACTTCCATATACATTTTAGAATCTGCAAGTCAATTTCTTTTTTAAAAAATCCGCTAGCATTTTGCTTGGGGTGTTGTTGAATTGTATTTCTTGAATGTCTTGAGCCAGTAGTTTATTTCAGAATCCCAAGACCCAAAAAGATACCAGACATTTAGTTAAATAAATCAATGGCAAAGATTTCTTTTTAAGGTTTGAGGCTGTGCTCTACAAGCTAGTAGGTGTAGCTGTCAAGGAAAAGCTCATGAGGATTGTTCGCTGTTGCTGTGTGTTATATATTATGTTACTTTCTCATTCAACTCAGGGAGATGCTTCACTGTCATATCTTTTTTATGGATTAGACTTCATTCATAGCTTGTTGGGTTCTGTCTAGCTGTGAATTCTAAATTGTCTGTTATCCATTCTATTAATGTCTTCTTGTCTTTTACTGTTAACTTTGCTCAACCTTTGATATTTCTGTGTCATTTTGTTTTAGTTGTGAACTTACAAGAAACAACGTGATTGGATTTTAGTTCTTTGAAAAACGTTTTGCTTTTCACCATTCAGTTCCTGGGAATTGGGACCACTACAGTGTAGCTTCCAGGATCCAGGCTGCCCTGGGCTTTGTAGTACCTGACCACGTATGTCAGTAAATCCCAGATGGCATAGGGATAGTCAGAAGGAAGTAGAGTCAGAAGAGACAACAAGGAAAACATTTTTCTTGAATTTTCTCTCAAAGTAGCCTGAGTAAGGAAGGGATCTATTCCTTGGATTTAAAGGAAAGGATTTCCCCAGCAAGTAAGTTAGGAGCATAATTTTCATATCTTGGTTAACTCAGGGTTGAAGAACATTCTCCATCCCTTTGGGCTGATCATTATTGCCCCTGGATAACACGGTACATACTGTCTGTGTCTTTCAGAAAGTTAAACCCTTACATGTGCAGTCCAAAATGAACTTGGTAACAGAGTCAGTGTCTTCTGGAAGTGTTCATCACTCATCGTCGGTAGGTAGATTATTTCTTCCTTATTAAACATTTAATCTGTCAGTATCATTCAAGCTCAGTAATGGAACTTTTTGATTTACCTGCAGATGGACAGCAAGTATGTAGACCTGGTCAGTGATCCGATATCCTCTCAGCTTTCACTGAAGGGTAAGGACCTTATTGTTGCAGGAAAATATTCACACACGGGATGGGTACTTAAGCAAGGGTAATATCACTTTTCTTTGCCATCCTAAGATGTTTGGTTTCTGGGTGAATGCAAGACTTTTTTCAGCCAATTTGTAAAATTGATACTTAGATATGGTGGATAAAAAACGCTAATATGTGTTTCTGAATATTGATCTGTGCTAACTGAAAATGAATTGAGTCATATTTCAAACCTAGAAACTGTCTCAGTTGGAATCCATGTTTCGTTGTTAAACTGCCAGCAAACCTGAAGCTCCTGTTAAATTCCTATTGTCCAATTTAATACTTAGGAGAAAAGTACGTCTATTTCTAGCATCCTTGTCTCCCTTCAGTCCTTGCGGGGCCTCAGATTGGACCCCTTTAGAGGTGGAAGTACATTTGTCCTTAAGTTTCTGTAAATCTTTATGAAACAACTGTGCTTGCTTTTCTCTAAAAAAACAAGTTGGGTTAACAAAATATGACATGATTAGTTTGAATTATTATTACTGATACTAATCAAAGGGTGTCAGTCATTTCTGTTTTTCATCTCCTGGAATGTTGAAAAGGAGACTTTCATAATGAATCTCTATGCACAGAGGAAGTGTGTGATAAGAGCTTAAAATCGTCTACTTTTGAGAGCTAGATTGAGCTTTGGCAGAAAGGAACGTCTCTTCTGGGTCTCTGTGCATTGGAGAGCCTTTTTCTGTACTGCTGACATGTATAGGCAGTATCATTTTCAGATGCGTCTGCCCTGGGTACAGAGGAATCTCTGTGGTCACATTGCTGGCTGCCTCCTGGGCTGGCATTTCAGATCACAGTGACCCCCAAGACTGGACTCCAGAGCACTCAGCTGCCTGCTAAGACCGTGACAACCTTTCAAAGACATCAGCATTTAAATCGGGGATTAGATCTGTTGAGTTGTTGGAAATTCCTACCCGTACAGTAACTTATTTCTAAACATCATTTCTAAAACATCATAATGTGTTAGGAGAAGAGAGACTCTAATGATTTATCATTAAAATGGAGCTTGTCGAATTTGGAACCTGTGTTTGACCTGGCGTTTTAGTTAGAGAGTTTAATTCACAGCAACATTCCCTTCCCCAAAAATTGAGTTGAGGATTTTACATCCAAAACTGACTGTTCTCAGCCAAGCAGACCATTTTTCAAAGGTTCATTTGGAGTGAGTACAAACCAACATTGATGACCACGTGGGCCACGAGGCAGCCTCTGCCAAAACAGCATTGTCACTCCCGGTCGTGTCCTCTGCCCTGAGAATGCCAAGCGTAGAGTCATTTCCACCCTGTCTACTGAAAGCCCCCTTTTTTGCCTTACTAATAAAATTGAAAGTAAATGCTATTTGATGATCCGCAATTTTGCAGGACGCCACTAGGCGTGTCATTCTGAATGTGACAACTGCACCCAGAAAGCCTCTGGACAGAACCCTGAAATGTCTTTCTACAAAATCTCTGATGTAACGTTGACACCTCCTGTTCTTAAGTTAGTGTGGGGAAATCATCCCATTAACAGAAATTTCTGGTTAAGTGGGTTTCAATGAAATCAAAATTTACTAAAAATTAATTTTCTGTTTTTAATGAATAAGAACAATCAATAAATGAGTGCCAGAAGGAAATTGAATGACAGATTTAGTAATTTGGGGAGTAAATGAATTTTTTTCATTAGATAGCAGTGTTCAATGGTTATGGCAACTGAGTGGCATTCATACTAGAAGCTTAAAGGGCCAAATTGTCTTCACAAAACAAATCACCCCAAACTTCTCAGGTACTTCAGAAGATTGAACACCCCCTTCGGGCCCCTAGGAAATAGTTTAATACATTATTAGTGTTTTCAAAGAGTAATTCACAAATACATCATCAAACAGGTGATTAGCTACATGGTTAGTATGTGCCTGACTTACAAACCTTTATTACTTTCTGTAACATGGGAGGTTACTGTAACCTACCTGGGGACAGAAGCCAAATGGAGCTCCTTAAAGTCACTGTTGCATTGGGTTCTGTTTTATAAACTATGTAAATAGAATATAAATATTTTAAATATCCTATTGACTACTTCTTGCCTCCACTAACAGGACCTTCAGGGTTGTATCAAAAGACTGGGGTTCTCACATTGTACTTTCATACCACAAGACTTTTGAAAATTATGGATAACTAACACTTCGTGGGTTGTAGGTACTGTTCTAAATGTCTTTCTAGTTTTAACCCTAATTGTCACAAAAACCTTATAAGGTCGGCACTCTTGCTTTCCCAAGTCTGCAGAGGAGACAGTTGGATACAGAAGGGTTTAGTAAGCTGCCAGGGTTATGACTGCAAATAAACAGATTATTTATTTATAAGTAAGGCTTAACTCAGACCCAGGCAGCGTTGCCCCAGAGCCCAGGCTCGTCACCACCCAGTTATGTTGATTTGTCCAAAGACTCATGCATGATGTGTCCCATTTTCAACTGCACACACTGTAGGAAAACATGTGATGTAACAGAAAAGCTTTGGAGGTGGACAGACTTGGGTTCCCATCTCATTCCAGCCACTTACTCACTGGGTGACTTCATCTCAGCCCCCTTGGCTGTGTGAAATGGAGAAGGTGACCTCCTCGCTTAGTTATGAGGATTCAGTGAGTTAATATCAGTGATGTGCCCAGCTAACTGCACCCCTACCTCTCCTCCTGAGCTGTGCACAAGGTAATCCCTGGGTCCCCAAAATAAAGGCTGGCAAACCTGCATGTTGATCCACTACACGAGACCTGTAATGTCCTCAGCAGCAGGCTACTGCTTTAAACAGACTAGTCTGTCTCTCCTTACATTCTTTAGTAACTAATTGTCAACCAAGCATAAGTAAGAATAAAATCCATCAAAATATACAGTAAGTATTTTGAAAAGAGCAAAAGTAAACATGGAATATGACTTAAAGCAATGTTATATCAAGTGATATGTCTTTCTTAAGCAAATTTAAATTGACTTTTTGTTATGCAGCAAACTTTACTCCAAAAAAATTCTAGCAAGAACAACAGAATGAATTGTGTAGCACAGAAGGCTAAGAGATAAATAAATCCTCGTTAATATAGGGGAGTGAAAAAATGAGGTCCAGTACTATCTGCAGAATTTCAAAGCCGTTTTTTACACGGTAGTAATTATCCCAAGAGATCCCAGGTAACATTATTAATTTGTTTGCTGCTTACCTGTGATAAAATTTGGGATCTGAGCTGCTCATTGTGTACCGTGCACTGCTGCAGATTTTATGTACTCAAGAAGACCTTTCTCACAGTCCAGTAATTAGGCGCTGTTGACATTGTAATCTTTGGAAATGTTCCTAATGAGCCCCAAAGACACGAATCTCATAGATAAAACCACAAAGTAACAGTGACTCTTTAAGTGGCTGGTTGGTAAGAGAAAGCGCAAACATGAGTATCTGAAACGCAGGAGAAACCCAAATTTAAACCTAGATTACATTGTGTTGTTAATTCTGAGACTTTTAGGGAAGAAACATGGAAGAGGTGATTTGAAAGGCTTTTAGAGAATAGTACAACGATCGCCATACATTGAATAGGATCTTTAAAACTTTCTTTTTGCCCTTTGAAACTTTGGACCTGAAAAGTGTTTTCTTTACTAAGTTTATTATCTACCCACCAATTTATAAAAGTAAGTATTAATAAACTGGAGTTCAGTTGCCCTTTTTTGTTTTAAACACAAAGATAATTTTAAAAATGACACAAGAAATTGGAGCTTAAAAGATAAAAAGAAAAGAATTTCAGGCGTAAGTGTTAGCATTGTTTTACATATTGTTTCTCCACTTCAGCTATAATGAATATAATTTAGTAAGGTATTCATATTTAAATACATACTTTGTAATGTTCTTCTATGCACCACATATATACACAAACAATAAATAACATCACTTAGCATGTAACTGAGGGCTATTAAAAATGTTAAAACAGGACTAATCTGATTTACTAAATATAATGTATTAAGGGGTCTGTTAATGTTTAAGATGTCACTGTCACCAGTTTTTCTATGTCCCTTATTGTCACCAATTTCCTATAATCCAAATGTTGTGTTTCTAAGTTATATATGTCATCCTTGTCTTTGAGACTTGGGCTGACTCTCAACTACCTTTCTATAGGAGTTTTTCTGGCTTTTTATACATATGTTCCAGAGACATTTTCTATTCAAGGCATGGGGTTTAGGATATGAAATAACATTAAATCCTGGATGATCAGCATTGTGTCTCTTAACGTACCTTTCCAAGTACACTGAATTCTCAGTGGCATAGAGTCAAGATGACAGTTGGATTTGAGAATTAATCCCAAAAATCCACAGGTCTCTATTTAACTGAAGCCTCATCTGTAGGTCAGATAAGGGTTTGAAAAATGTGAGAAATGAAAATGAAGGATAATTCATGTTTTGAAGATTGTGTTAATAGTTGAAATAAGTAGGCGGGCCTTTCAATTTGTAAGATCGTAACAACTTAGTAGAAAGAAAGGTCACACGAATACATATTCAACATGTACTTTACTAATTTGATGGGCTGTCTTGTCACTCAGTCTGGTGATGCTTTTAAGTGTATGTAGACAGTGTTTCATTCAATAAATGCCACTAAGCGTCTTCCTAATGATGCCCCAAACTGGTACTTAGAGGTATCCGAAGCATGATGCAAGGATGCTTTCTGGTGTGTGTTCTTACTCAGTCCCTGGACCACGAATTGGATCCCAGCAGCCTCTCTGGATCCTGTGGCCACTGATTTCATCCCAAACCTCAGCTGCTCATTGCTGCCCGGTTACTTAACAGTCATTATAAACCATATCAGCCTTTATGATGGTAACAAAATACTGAGAAAGATTTTAATTAGTCTCCAGACAAGTGGGTATTAATTTTTAAATTTAGGAATGGTTCTGTTAGAGAAACGGCAAAATGTTTGAAGATAACTGTGTATGGATTTATGCTAATTTGTGTGCATAGCAAGTGCACCCTTAACTGA